CAGTCAGACAGGAGGACAACAATTCTTTTTTTCCCAGTTAGCATGTCTCAGTGGAGATGACGATTTGTGAACAAGATGCAAATTTCACTGCCACCACTAACTTGCTTTTCAGACTCCAAAACATAGTCTTTCTGTGACTGCATCTATGTGGCATCCACCATTTGGAAGGGAACTACAAATTTTATATAATCATCCAGATATTTTGAAATACACAAATCCCTTTATTTCCACTTCCAATTTAACCCAGATGCTTGTCATCTGTAGACAGTGTCCGTGACTCAGATTTCTCATCTGAAAACCAAACCTAAGCAAACCAGCTGCCTTCGAATCGATCCATAGAGTTTTCATGGCTGTAAACTTTCAGAAGCAAATCACCAGGCCTTTCTTCTGACGTGGCTCTGGGTGGTTTGAACTACCAAGCTTTCAGCTAGTAGTCCAGTGTTTAACCATTTGCACCACCCGGGGACTCTATCTGGAAACCAGGGTAGGGGTGGTTGGTTTAAAGCTCAATTGTCTCAAAGGAATGTCCTTTATATTAACAGGGGATCAGGAAGCAATGTACTCACACTCTTTGGAAAGAACAAAATGTTAAGAAAATTAACTGTCAGAGTAACTAGAAATTTAGTAGAAGTAGAAACTCGAAATATAATAGTGATAGGTCAAATAATTTGGAGGGTGTGTCGGTGGAGAAGAAATCTGAGTGAGGAAATGATTGTGTTTTATTAAATTCCCTAGAAGCAATTAACTGTATGGGATCTTCAAGGATAGCAATTTCAGCGGTTCCAACCCATTATTTACTCACAAGTAATTCCTTGATGAAGGAGCCCTGGTGGTGCAGTGGTTAAGCACTCAGCTGCTAACCAAAAGGTTGGAGGTTCAAACTCACCCAGAGGCTCTGTGGAAGAAAGACCTGGCAAGCTGCCGCCCTAAGGATTACAGCCAAGAGTACCCTATGGGGCAATTCTACTGTGTCACACGGAGTCATTATGAGTCACAAATCAACTCAACGGCACCTAACAACAACAACAATCCCTTCCTGCACGCATTCATTCAACAGATATTAGTTGAATGCTTACTATACCCCCAGGAACTCTGGCAGGTACAAGTGATATAGAGGTGAAAAGAAGCTATATGCCACCTCTGCCATTTTGGAGTTGATAAGCTAAAGGAGAAGAAAGACACCAGAGAGATACTTATACAAATGAGTGCTTAATGACAACTGTAACAAGTTCTGTTGGGCAAAGACAGGGGAGTGATGACTACGTGCATCGGGAGCATTTTCGCATGGGCATGGCTAGGGTGGGCTTCCTCCAGGACACAGCAGATAAATTCAGACTGGGGGGTGGGGGGGGGAGTGGCGAACAAGCTGATGTGGGAAGCAGGCAGGCTCCCACATGGCAGGGCCCTGACAGTCAGGTCTTATGGGCCACATAGAGGCTTTTGATTTCGTTATAAAAGCAATGAGAATCCACCAAAGGGCTGACTATCATAGACAGGAAAAGCCAGAACTAGAAGACTTGGCCTCTAGACCCAGCTCAGGGCTTAACTAGCCCTGTGGGCCTGAGGACCCCATCTGGCCTTCCTGGCCTCAGTTTCCTCATCTGTAAAGAATAATACAACAGGACTCCAATTCAGAGCTGGGGGCCCTCATATTTCAGAAGGGAAGAAAAGAAGGCTTCTGTTTTTTTTTACTTTTCTGTGGCAGTGATCAAAAGAAATAATGAATGCCAATACAGTTTGTAAAATGAAGGATGATCTATACCTACCAAGGAGCCCTGGTGGCACAGCGGTTAAGTGTTCAGTTGCTAACCAAAACATTGGTGGTTTGAACCCACCCAGGGGCTCCGAGGGAGAAAGACCTG